TGCAAGCAACCGAGCTCGCTATGAGTCTGCGCCCGCAAACTTATAAATGTTAATGTTAAAATCCAGCAGCGTAATAACAGCCAGTAATAACACCAACTAATAGTTACGTAACACAAATATTATAATTACCTACTCAACAATGTAACTGTTACGCACAATATGTGCCATGTTACATTTATATAATTCGGTGAGAAATTATAACATTGCTGTTACGTAATTATAAGTTGGCGTGTATCAAGATGGTGATTCGCCCAGTTCTTTCCGCGCTACGTTTGAACGATTAAAACAATTACAGCGATTCGCAGGCTCTTTATATTTTCGTAACAACAATATGTAGAGGAAAGTCTCCTATTATGTGATAGGCTCCTTATATGAGATAGCGGAGTCTCTGCTAAATTGATAAGCATCATCTGTTGGTTCCATCATGAATTTATTGCCCTTGGAGTAAAACCTGCTTGATTTGTGATTGAATTTAGACGGTGAAAACCTACTATCTCATAATAGAGAGTTTTCCTCTACCTGTCCAATGAATAAAGAACTTGGTCCAAGTTCCAGTATCGTGAACACAGGCCTTAAAGGCTCCCAAGCTTTAAAACCGAAGAAGGGTAGAAAGGTTAATGCGAGCCGTGAACGCAGAGATTGAGGCGTAGTCTTTTTCCGTCGTCACTGACGTTCAATATTAAAATTTCAAATTCACAAACGTTTCGATCCCATTTGGGTCATCTTCGGTGTAAATAAAGTACATCTACAAAAGTTAAAAGCGTGTAACACGGTGGAGACAGAACAAAATAATTTGAGAGAAAAAGAAACGTTAACCGCAATAGAAGAAACGAAATTACAAGTAGCAATGAATATGCACTTATATTTGCTCGGTAATTGAAAATCGTTCGCCGGGCTCGGGAGCGTCGGGCGCAATTTATTTAATTTACAAAGTTATCGAACTAGCATGCCTGATTATGCAACGCGTATAGATTAAACGTCGCGCGTTCGGCCGGATTGTTGACTGTGCCAACGTGCATAGAAATATACCTCTTCCGTAGGCGGTCGCGCGATGGCGCCTACTCGCGCGCATACCTACCTACCTGCAGCCCCCGAACCGGCCAGCCTCGCGGGCGGAATTGCTCTCCGCGACGGAACGAACTCTCGTTTCACCGAGATTCCTCCGTCCGTGCGTCACGGGAGCGGGAGAGAGAGAGAGATACACACGCTGCCGTTTCTCTACGCGTATCCGTTCGCGTTCGTGCGTGGCCGGTAGCCGCCTGCCGCCGCGAGAGCGGACGTGTGAAACGCGAACGAGCAAGATGACGAGGGGAGTCGGACGGGTCGGTCGATGCGACCGCGGAAGAAATTCCGCCAAACGGCGTGAAGAAATCTTATCGCGCGGGCGAGCATCCCGCATTTGACGAACGCGAGAGAGTATCGTGGCGCGACGTCGAGGTCTTTTTTTTACGACGAGCTTGATACACACACGCACGCACACGCACTAACCTTTATCTTATCATTTGCGAAGGCGGATCGAGGTTGCCGCGGTTGTTTGCTATGGTATCAAGACTCTCGACGACTCGATGCGCGTTGACTGACGCTCTCGCTCCCTTTCTCTGTCTCTCTTTCTTATCCTTCTACCGAGAAAGTAGAAAATTCCACGAGGGTGAAACATATCATCCCCCACGATTTCGACCGCGAGCGATTCACGACGGCGCGAAACGCTCCCGCACGGGCTGCATCAGGCCGCATGCCCTATCGGACGGCGATTCACTTTATCGACCGAGCAATTAAAAAACAAACAATATCGCAGTAAAAAGACGCTGTTTTATCCACCGGACACGTTATCGGTGTACGTCTCTAGAGCGAATCGGTCGATCGATATTCCTGCGCGGAAATAGCCGACGGTCTCTACCATTGTAGAGTAACGTCAATTTTAATTTAATTTATTTCTTAGCCTTTGCTCAGTTTTAGAATTAGAAAAGTGGAAAATAAAGTAAACCAAAATTAAAATTATCTACATTGATAGAAAGAGAGAGACGCAACAAAAGCTACTACATGGAAATAATTTTTTAAAAAATTTATCCTGAAATTGGCTCATATTGCCCATATAAGATACCTTGACAATATATTCAATTCTTCAACACAGTTGTCATAACTGATATTTGTTTTTTCATGAGCCTTGTAAATTGTTTTATTTATCCTGAAAATTATAAAATCGTGGGACTCTCGGGGAACTCGCAAAGAACTCTTGGAAAAACTCAGAACTCGCAGAGAACTCTCGCTGCGAACTTCACGAGTTCTTTGCGAGTTCCCTGCGCATGAGAATTCTCAGGGGATTCGCAAAGAACTCGCAAAATTCGCGGCGAGAGTTCTCTGCGAGTTGTGAGATTTCCATGAAAGTTCTTTACGAGTTCCCCGAGAGTTCTCATGCGCAGGGAACTCGCAAAATTGTCAGCGAGAGTTCTC